AACAAATCCAAATACATCCAAAACAGAAACACTGAATGTTCTTAAAGGCTACATGACAGTAATAGAATATTATTATTTGTTTTCACCAAACTTCTGTGAACAGGAGCAAAGGATTATCCTCCAAGAGAATTATTCTATTTTTTTCTACTTCTGCTTTTGTAATTTCATTTCCTAATAACTATTGGAATAGATGCTGCCCTTACAGGTGCATTATGTTTACATATCTCATTTATTCAAAAAGCATTTAGAAACAGCAGTTTAAAGCTTTGCACATAGACATTCAGAACCTAACAATATTTTAGAGGCGATTCTTACATCAAAGAAGCAGGAGGCTCATTTCCTCATTCCAGACTCCCAAATCAAAGAGTAAAGTTCACTGAATTGAATTGCTAATTAGCAGTGCTTAAATTACACATTGCATTGGTCAAGCACCTCCCAAAATAACATATGGCTTGCAAGGTCCTTATAAATTAAGCTTGCAGAACAGATCTGGCAGACTCAGGCCAGCTAGCTTATGTTTTGGGATTGTTTAGCTTTTTAGCAAGTGGCACTATTATCTTGCAACAATAAATTCCAACTTAACAGAGTGTGTATTGGTATATAATATTTGACTTTTACCCAAAATACAATGAGTGGAAGAACTGAAGAATTGTTTGTATTTCTTGTTAACTCTTCATGCTTAATTCTTCATAAAGAAGTTTCTTTTTCCTCCAACTGAAACTGGGCACAAAACTGAAAATTCTTGAAAATATACCAGGTCTGAAGAGATGAAATGGCTCTAAGGGCTGATTTCGTTTGGCTCATGATTAGCTGACCATGGTAAACAGTTCCACCAAGAATTCATCTCAGTTACTATGTTTTCTGCATGTTAAGAAACTGGTTTAATTTTTTACTTGTATGTTTGCATTATGAGTTGAAAGTTATTAATAAACAGATATAGAGTAGAACAGTGGTGGCGAACCTATGGCACGGGTGCCAGAGGCAGCATTCAGAGCCCTCTCTGTGGGCACGCGAACTGTCACCCCAGTCCTAGGCCTTCAGCTGGGTTTTATAAAACTTTTTCACCGCCATGTACAAAAAAAAGGTTCAATCAATCAGGCAATTTCAACTTCTCGTGGGGAAAAAAAAAGATCTTGCAAAATTGGAATTGATTGATTGAACTTTTTAGTCCCACCCGGTCTGCTGTTACAGACTGGGTGGGACCACACCCACCCAATGGGCCACACCCACCCAATGGGCCACACCCACCCGGTACCCGATGATGCATAAGTGGGTTTTGAGTTGCAGTTTGGGCACTCGGTCTCTAAAAGGTTCGCCATCACTGGAGTAGAACAATGAATTAGTTACCATCTATGAGAAACTATGCATTTTCAACAGAGTGGCTACTTTTGCAGTAACAAAGGGAAATGTGTGTTGTAGCAATTAGCATATTTTTTTTTAAATTTAAGTTTTTTAAGAGTTTGAGGAAACAACTTCAAATTTGAAACAAACAAAAATATTCTAGACCCAATAACAAATAATGCATAAATATTTTAATCCAATTCATCAATATACTATTGCAAAATGTTATCTCTTTCTGTATCAAAAAAAACAAAGCCAAGTGCAATGAAGTTCTTTGTTGTTTTATGTAATGTATTTCTATATGTAGTAGCATGAATTAGGGCATATTTATAAATGTATATAGTCTTCACTTTAAGCAATGGTGGCAGACCAAGGCAATAATGAAGATATGACTCAGCTGTTACAATGTTGAAAGGATCGTGGCATGTTTTCCTGAAAAATGGCACAGAAGATTCCCTAACCTTTGAAAAAGGACATGCCCACTTCACAGCAGTTCAGAATAGCACTAAAATCTAAAGGAAACAGTATGGTAAGGCTCTTTTTTCCCCCTCTTACCAAGTCTCTCCCTCCTTCCAATGCCAGATGCTGAATTCACTGTGGCTGTTGCAAAAGGGAAAAGAAACTGAGACAACTGAAAGACACTTGTGAAGTCATTTTTATTTATATATGTAGAAAATGGGTGTTTCCTGAACAACTCTTTTGTCCTTCATGCTAAGTTGACAACAAACTAAAAAAAAAAAAAAAAAGGGGGGGGGGAGACCAAATTATTCAGTTCCAAGCAAATAATTGTCTTTGGTTTTATTCTTTTTCCACTATAAAACCACATTTTTGCAAAAGAGTTGTAATGAAGTAGAGGTGGTTATGTTTATTCTCCTCATTCATTTTTGATCTTAGCAGAGCATATTGCATGTTTAGGACAAATTCTTCATAAACCTGAGAATGTTCCCCTCATTTTAAAGAGTATATATTTCAGGAGTTAAACCACATACACACATATACAAGTCAGCTTGATTGTATAGGCAGTTTCTGCTCAAGGCTCAAAAATAAAATACTGAAGATATTAACTACTGGCCTTTGCTGGCCAGTACTTGAGTTGGACAGCTTTCTACTCTTTCGTTTTCCTGGATACTGTGCCCACAGTTTTTCTCCACATACCTATTTCAACTCATGCCTTCAATTATTCTTTCCTATGCTTCATTATAGACTCTGAACTTGCTTAGCAAATAAGCCAGATAAATTAAGTACATTTAAATCCCAAGTGCTCCTATGGAAATCAGTGTGAATGCCAGAATCTAACCAGACTGAGTCCCAAACTTTTATAAATTTTTAAACAGAATCAAATGGGAATTATTTAAGTAAAACATATTCCAACTAAAGAATTGATATGTGGGATTACAAAATCTGCTTGCACTAGATCTGTTATATCTGCCCATGTATTTATAGTAAATTGAATAAATGCTAACTTGGTTTTGTAAGCCAGCAATGGAAGATATGCATGCAGATAAAAACCTCTCCTTTTGCAGCTGTGGCAGATGAAAACAATTATTACATACATGCAAGTCCAAATGTTATTGCTGGCCGTAGAAGATCAAAACACACGGCAGGAACATTTGGATTAGAAGTTCTGAAGATTGTGGTACATATAAGCAGGATCACTTGATCTCTCAACCTTTCTACATTTTTTTGTGTCCATGACGACAAGATTCTCTCCAAGGCTGTGTGATCACCCTAATGTATATGTACTTTTAATAGTTGGGGGGGAATGTAAATATGTTCCTTGTCTTCTAAATTCAAATACCAGAAATATACAAAAATTCTGCCCACAATTTGAAACATTTGGAAAGGGAAATGTATACATGACTTCTTGTTGGTTTTTCCTTTAAAATTAGGCAATGGTAATTTTATTTTTAAGATTCATATAACGTTCTTTCCATTGCTTAAAATATTATCTACTCTAGATTAGAAATTATGGATTTCCAATACTCCACTGCATTCCCTGAACAAAGAATATTCTGGCAGCTCTAAATACTCTGACAAGAATAAATACCATTTTTCTTTTCTAAATATCAGATTATAAAACTATTCAATACATTTTGAAATAGTAACTCATGCAAATACCATATTGGGTCAGCTTTGTTATTACAAATACTGCAGTGGCTTAGTGCCATATTAGATTCCTTTTCATAAAAAAAAAATGTTTATACCCCTAGAGCTGACAAACAGCTTTGGAGAAAATAATCTGTACAACCAAATCTCTACGATCCTGTTTTTCCAATTTACACATACAGAAATTGAGCGCACACATCTCCTATTCCTTTGTTGTGAGTTTGCAATCTACACTTGAACCAAAGATGCTTATTTTTTTAGTTTTGAAAACACAATTGAAACAGCAAAAATAATCCTTTGGCCCCAATCTTTGTCTCTGACTCCTCTCTCTGCTACCTTCTACAACTTTCATTTTCTGGAAATGCAAAACATTCTTCCTCATGCTTTAATAATACTAAGATAAGACATTTATATAGTATAAATATAGTTAAAGATATAACTATTTTTCTTTCATATTCTTCTATTTATCAATCTGCTGAATATCAATTATTGCTTTGGTAAAAAATACTTAACATTTTCAAACCTCCGATTACCTTCCTAACTCAGTGTGATTGTTCCTTATTGATTTTATTATATATTCCCTCTTTCGGTATCTAATACTTGTTGCCTATTAAGCACAAATGATAATACAAATACACATTGAGGCCAAACTCATAACTGCAAGCATACAAGCCACTAGAATTAAGAATTCTGGTTTGGCATTTCTTTCTATCTCTTCTAACCTATCTATAGAATGTGCAGCAATATTAATGGAATTGTATGAAGCATACTGATTATGAAAAAAACAACAACAACCGAGATGGCAAGTTTGCAACAACACCCAAGATCACATACAAGAAAAACATAAACCATCTGCCATCTCTCCATACTTTCCAAAGTATTAGTAAAAACAACACATTGCATTTATGGCTAAATATATGGATTGTACATTCACATTTGCAAATTAACAGCCTCTTTAAAAAGAAACAGTTATGTAGACTCCAAGAACCTCTCCAGATTCTTTAAAAATAGCAAAAAAACAAAAAACAAAAAAAAACCCTTGCTATGTTATACCTAGGATATAACAGAATAATAGGCCCCTTAGAAATGCCACTTATGTGTTGTAAAACCCAAGATCAAAGAAAATTGAAACTGTTCATATCCAGAAGTGCCATCTTGTGGTCAAAAGGTATATAATCCAGATTCTTCCTATTCCAAACACACGTGAAGCAGACTTCGTGAAGGATCATATTTTATTCTACTCACTTGGAAATATATTCACTTGGATGATCACTGCTGCAGTTGCTTATAACTAGCGATGGTGACAGCTCCACGACTATTGTCTGCTTCTTCAGTTTCTTCAGAGAGGACAGCAGGTGTATGTCTTATTACAATTCTTCGTTGTGTTTGTGCATGTATGCATGTAATATATAGGAACTGATCCTGCTCTAATATGCATTGCAGAGACTCGTATGTTTGTAATAAATACCACATTAAAATGCTTTAGCTTTTTTAAAAAATTAAAACTTTTCCCCCCCTCTTATTTGGTTTCCTGGTCTCTGCAATAAAAAAAAAGTTCTGAGGTTTTGCCAAAAAAGTCTATTCATTTTCTTCCCGGTTAGCATATATACCAGCTTCCCACCGCAGTGCTAGCGCACTCTTCCGACGATTAACTCTAGTAGCCTCAAGGACCTGGGGAGGGAAAGGAAGAAAACATCATTTATTTTGTTGTCTTTGTCCCGTTATAGACAAACTACAAAGACAGCCAATGAAAATTTATATGCAACTCAAATGTTTCCAATGGCATACCTCACCACCTTTCGTGTTTTTTCACTCATTGAGAAAAAAATATATATCAGCATAGCTGCAGCCAAAATCAAATCAAATGCTTAACTGAAAAGTGATTGCAAAACATCCAGCTGTGATGCTTAAGTTTAAGCACATCGATGAAAACACCACCACATGCAGAGAAAACACAAAGATAGCTGGTGAAGCATAAAAAAGACATGTGGCAGTACAGTTGCTATGGCCTTTTCAATAGAAAACTACACCCAAACATCTAACCAGTGATAAGGACTTTTTCCTTTATTTTCTTCTCTCTGAGCTATTCATCCCAAGTCTCCTGTGCTTATGTAAATCATTTTGCAAAAAATTGCAATAATCACATTCAATAGCTGCAGAGAAAAACTGAGTTAACTATGATACCTGTGTGCACTTTAGATGAGAGATGGAAATTTCCTAGTGCTGTTAATCCCCACCTTTCTGCTGTATATCTAAAGCAGAATTGTAGCTGAAATATTACACAAGTGTCTTGGGTTGTTAGTATATACTTTTGTCAGGTATATCTTATAACACTCAGAATTTCCATTTCCATGGGACTGACATGGATAGGATCAAGTGTGACCACGTCAGGAAGGCTGCTATTTAAAAAAAATTCCAAGAGAGGTTTAAACAGAATTGATTATTGAAAAAAATTCCAAAGAACTTGTTAAATTAATCACAGGAACTAGTTAGATCCTCCAAAATGTTTGTGTGGGTTTAAGATACAGTTGAAAAGTTGTGATAGGTTGGTGGTACAAAATGACTTGCATCTCCCAAGGACTGATAAAATATGTTTCACCAAAGTAAGGCAAGCTTGTTCAGATTTAAACTAAATCCTATGTAGAAATCAGAGACAAAAACATTTCAGACAGGTTAAATATATTCATAGCTACCTGAAAATCCAAGGAAATAACTTAAGTTGCATTGTTGAGTGCACTTGGGGGGGGGGGGGTAAAATAAGTAGAAAAATAACAACATTGCTGCTAATATCTCACACTGAATTCCCAATTAAGGAGGAGAAGTAGTAGAAGTGTTGTATAGATGTATGATAGAAGTGAGTGAGTGAAGCAGAATATTTTGATCATGAATTCCTGGTGAGGAAATTCACTTCCAGGTATATGCTCTCAGTCCTGTCAGTTCAAAAAGTACTGTAACTATGGGGTCCTTGGGGCTCTCTGAGCTTGGTGGTTTTCTTGCAGATGGCACTGATGAAGTTACCTAGTTTGGTAATGAAACGTCTACAAGAAAACCACCAAGCTCAGAGAACCCCAAGGATCCCACAGTTCAACCCCGAGCTACAAATATTCTCTTCGATCAGCACCGTGACTGCACTGCATTTTTCCTATATATTTTTTCTTCAAGAAAAACAAAGCAGGAGGAAAAGAGTGACAAAACTCTTAAAATTTAGGCAAGATGGTTCTGCAGTAACATTTTTTTTTTCTGGGAAGGCCTCTAGAGTTATGGAACGATAAAGAGAGTGAGCTGGTTACATGAATTCATGGAGAAGTTTTGTCCAGTTCCTCAACCCTGTGCCTTAAACAATGTGAGGATTACAACACTGACCAACTTTGTAATATTGCTGGTACGACAGCAAATCTTGGAACAAACTAAAGCAATATCAGCATTGCTAAGCACTTTTACGTAGACACACATTTGATTGGTCTACACACAACCTCTTTTGCCCTTCTTTAAATTTATTGGGGCGTTTCTTACTCTTTTATCTTTGATACTCTCTTTACACACAATCAAACAGAGAAACAGTGGGATGAGGATGTCAGCTTATGAGCTCCCAAGTAAAAATATACATAAATGAAAGAGTGCAGTCATTATTTCCTAACCTAGCCCAACCCAGGAAATCTACGTTGTTGTGATGAGGGAGAGTACACTAAATATACTATTTTATGCTCTCAGAGAAAAGTTGACCTGTAAGCCTAATTTATTAACCTGAGATAAAATGGGTTGCTCTTTGGGGGGAGGTGTGTGTGGTGGATTTCCAATCCCCCCCAATAAAATGTCTTTTATAGTAGTTATATAGCAAAGTTTAACGAGATCTCAGGCTGTACTTCTGTGCCCCATTTGCAGGCAGTAAACCCAACCTATGGGGGTTTTTTTGGAGTAGACATGTACAGTCTAAACTACCTTATACAGGTGTTCAGTTAGTATGGCAGAACCACTGTTTCCTATGCTATACCCTCTTAACCTATCATGTCTCCAATCTTCTCTGAACCAGGAGCTTTTGCTAGACCTTGAAGCAAAAAAGCACATAGAACTGTGATCAAGAACATTGTTGGCAAAACTCTTTGTTGCAATCAACTCTCATAGAAAATCAGTATCCATCTCTATGATCTATCCATCTTCTTAGAGATGCCATCCCATATCACAGAGACAATGAATCAACACGTATATTGATAATGATCCTACCTGCTGTTCAAGACCTCTATGTTTACTCCTATCTGCACACTCAGAATTATGTCCTCTTTCACAAAGTGCAATGCTTGCTGGCTCCCTTGGTGTTTGTTTGTTTGTTTTTTTAAAAAAATCATGAAATGTTGTCTATACTTTTCTAAACTTGGGCTTCCTTCTAATTTTCCTCTATCCTCTAAGCCACAAAGTCACATTCAGGTATTTATTTGGCAAAAAAGCACGCAGGATCCTGGGACGCTGAGGACATTTAATATGAAAACATAAGATTTTTGTTGAAATCAGTTGCCAGGGAAGAAAGAAAATGCTATAGTGTGCCTAATTAAGATAATGAATCAATAATGTGAAATTTCAGTTGTAGAATAAAATTGGCTTTCAGATGTATTGGGATTGAAATCCCTGAATCCCAGTTAGCCACATTGGTTGGAGATTCAGGAAATTGCTGTTCTAACACACCCAGAATGATAAATTAGGGAGGTGCCCTTTGTTAGCATGACACCTACCGCAGGACTGAAGCCAGGTTTCAGCGCTGTTGCCAAGAAGCATAACTCTTTGATAACATTGTTGGGAATTATGGGCTGATCACAGGGAAGACATCCATGTTACAAAACCAGTCTGAAACTACGGGTGTAGTTTAAGTACCTGGTTCAAGTCTGGAAATATATATAGAATCCTCTCTTTTTGTGCTCCCTTAAGAAGGAACCCTAAAATGGCAGCTAGATAGGATTTCTCATGGAAGATTTGGGAAAGGACTGATTTTGATTCTTTCAAATTCCATTTGTATGGTTGGAATATAGGTTCAAGAGATTTAATCTTACTTATTTGGTCAGCATACAGATCACAGCAATTATGAATTTAGGTAATTTGCAAAGTATAGATAATAAAGTTAAAACAACACCAAAGACAAAGCAACCAGATAACAATACAATGGCTGTAAGATGTCAGAGAAACCACAAAAAACCTGTTAGATTTTAGGGGAATGCTGTTCCTGGACAGCAATGGAAAAGGCCCATCTCTGAAGTCCCATCAGATGGCACCATTTTACAGGCTGGACCTGAAGCATACCAGCCCTGCCCAAACTTACCAGGTGGGCAGAAGCAACTGGAGAAAAAAAATCATGTGGCTATCCAAGGTGTAAGTCTATGGATTTAGCAGGAACTCCCAAAAGCAGTGTGGGGTGTCATCCAACTGATAGTCTAGGTGTGGGGAAATCATGGGAAAAAATGATGGCTTCTAATTTCAAATATTGCTCCAACAAATAGCAGCGGGAAGCAAACTATAGCAGCATGCAAAAACTGAGAAACTCTCAAAAGTCTCATGCAAAAGAAGAAGAAAATAAATAAGCAAAGTGCTTAAAAGGGCAAACATTTGAAAAGTACCTCAGAAGTAACCTTGTTAGACAGTAATTTATAGTTGTACTAGCAGAAAGAGAAAAGACTCTCATTAGTGCGCAAAAAGAACAGAGAAAGAGAATGATGCTTATAATGAATTGAAAATGGGTATCTGTCTCTGAATTTCTCATTAAGGCCGTTTTATCTGTTAAAAAAACCTGCTAAGCATAATAGGCAATTTAAGAACACCAGCATAAGCTGCATGTTACTTGCAACCGTATCTACTTATCTATATAATTCTTTTATTACAAACTAAGGATTTCCCAAATCTTACGACCTAAAGACTTTACTTTCTCTTAGATAACCAAAATCCTTCCCTTTAAGAAATGGAGATCTTTGAAATGGACAGTACTTTCCCAATAAAAAACTGATTACTTACCTCTAATTAAAGACCATTGAAGTGGTCTTCTGTGAAATTATACATGAGTTTTGTGCCTGCCCAGAGCCCCATTTAGAATTTTTCTACACGACAAATTTTGGCTCTCTCCATGAATCACATATGATTAGCACATGTGATCACTGCCCAAGTCCCTCTCCAAGGGAGATGAGCTGTTAAGGAATATGAAATATATATATATATGTTTTCTGAGGTTTTCGTGGGTGTTTGTATGTAGGTCTTTAGTTATTCGGGTTTTCTCCCGCGTAGAATTAAAAGTACCTTGGCGACGTTTCGACGAAGTCACATTCGTCATCTTCAGGCTGGTGTCTTCAGCTTCGTGCTCCTAAGAGTGGTAGGAGCACGAAGCTGAAGACACCAGCCTGAAGATGACGAATGTGACTTCGTCGAAACGTCGCCTATCGTTTAGGTGCTGTTTAAATTTGTGATGATGCTGAATGAGGGGGACTTATGACAAGTCGTTCTGGCCTCACAGCATCCACACGATCATGAGGTCATGATCTTGGCATCCATCTCATGATTATGACATTGCAGCAAGCCACAGTCAGGCAACTGCAATTTCTGACATTCCCTACTGGCTTCCCACAAGCAAAGTCAATGGGAAAGATGGCAGGAAGTTGGAAGTCACAGTCATGGCTATTGCTTAATGACCTGTGTGGTCCTCGCTTAATGACAGCAATTGGGACTGCCAGAATTGCCTTCACTAAGTGATACATCATGCTTTATGACCATCACTTAGAGATGACAATTCTAGTCCCAATTGCTGTCATAACCTGAGGGCTACTTGTATAGCAAAGTTTTGAGAAGTAGCTTGATGTCATGAAAAACCAAATATCAAGTTGTGTGAATTCAGAAATGGCCACCAGAAAAATTAGAGTGTAACTAATTTCCCCTTTGCCCTGGTTGCTGTGATTTATACGTATTGATGAGTTCCTTGCTTATTCCGTATAGAAGAGATTGGTGTTTGTGGATTGACAGGAGAGAGGATCGTTCTTCCTCCAGTCATAATCTCAAAATGGAGGAGTAGATCCATAATCTCAGCTGTCATTCAGCAAAGAATGATGGGAAAGCAAGCTCTTGGGGGTGACCTATCATGGATTTTGCTTCTAAGGTAAAATCTTCAGCAGGAGTCAAGGGACACTTAATGGTTTAGCTCAGAGAGGCTATAAAGGTATCAATGTGTAATGGTCTAATAATAGAGGAAAAGAACCCATGATGGCAGGGGTTTTTCAGAAGGCTTTAAGCTACTTATTAGATCATTCCCCTTGTACCAATGATAACAGGATACTCTAAGGATTATCAGTAGGAGATGAGGATTCTGAATAGAGTTAGACAATATAATGTCTGGGTCCAGAGGGTTTCTAAACATGGTAGGAGCCTTAGTTAAACAAAGGAACATAAATAGAGGAGCTGTAGTAGCCTTAGAATTAGCTTCCTCAGGACTCATTTCATCCTCATTTACAAATGAGTGATTACAAAAAGCCTGGCAGTAGGAGCATGGCAGTGTGAGACTCTCTCTGTTGCTCATGCCCTGGTTACCTCCCAAATGGGCTACTGTAACACGCTCCACCTGGGCCTGTCCTTGAAGAGCACTCAGAAGCTACAGCTGGTGGAAAATGTGGCCGTGCGAGCAGCACATGTTACATCTCTGCTCTGCATGCTGCACTGGGTATCAGCCTGCTTCAAAGTGCAATTCAAGATATTTGTAATGAACTACAAAGTCCAACATGGCATATGGACCTGGGATACTTGAGAACCTCCTCTCCTCAGCTACATCTACTCATCTAATCAGATTCAGAAGGCAAGGCATGATACCGGCCCTGGCTAGTGAGGAAGGTCATCTGACAAGATCCAGGAAGAGAACCTTTTGTGAGGGGATTCCTTCCCTTGGGAACTTTATTCCCCTGGAACTTAGATAGACATTGACCCTCCAATCTTTAGGAAAAGCTAAATTGATTGCATTAGAATTAGGCATTTTTCCCTCAAAAAGCTGTGAGGGGGAAAAAAAACCTCATTTCCTGATATATTTCCCACCACTGCTAGCTTGGTAACTCTGCAATTTCTGATTGTACTACATTTTTCCACAGCCTTGATCTCAGTGGAAGAAATGCTAGCTCACAAGAGAGGCCAAAGTTTTCACAATGCAGCTCAATAAATTTACATCTCCCCAGTATCCTACCCCAATCCATGGGGAACAAAACTCATTTTGGAGTCGATGTTTCTACAAGCATGGCCTTCCACCTCTTCCTCTTCACTGCTTTTCCCCACCAATGTCTCCCTCACCATTGGTAGAGTGGCTATGGAAAGGATATTCGGTTTGCCCCTGGTATTCTGCGCCTAGCAATCTGGGCAGTCTCATATGTAAACCCACTTCTTGTGTGCCCTTTAAAAGGAATTGATTTTTTTTCTTCTTCTTCAATTTTCCTCACTCTAGTCTGTTCAGCTTATTGCCTTGTGCACCAAATTCTTGGAGGGCAACTTATAAAAGTCTAAGGGTTTTTTTCCCTCCTTAAGTCTGTATGTGGAAGAAATGGCAAGGGAGAAATGGAATATGCTTACACTGTTCTCATCCATCCTCTCCCGCCTTTTGGTTTTGTGACTTTCATAGTCTTCCATAAGCGTCTGCATCAGGTTCTTGGCTCTTTGGGATCCTCCAGTGTCATCTGATGCGGAGCTGGGATGCGAGGGGGGACCTTCACCAGTTGGAGATGGAGGTGGTTTGATCTTCTCTATTTTACCTGTAAAGACCCAATCAGAATTTCCTTCTCTAGGCAACAGATTCGAAAAAGAGAGCCTGAAAACATACACCCAACTGCCAAACCAGAGGAGCATTTAAGAAGGTTAAGCTGCAGAGGTTATTACAGATGAGAAAGCTTGACGCATCTTAAAAAGGATTGAGTTTAAAAAAAATTGCCTACCGATTTTCAAGCGGGGGCCAGTAACTATAACAACTAAAAGAAGGATGCACATATGCGTATGTATGTATGTGTATACAAGTGAACTACTGGGCATCGGCAGCCATGCTTTTAGACCTGACTACAGATAGTCCTTGACTTATAATCACTTGTTTAGCGATCAACAGCACTGAAAAAAAAAGTGATTTTTACAACCAATTCTTACACTTACAACTATTGCATGATGAAAATTCTGGCACTTGATGATCAGGCACGTATTTAGGACAGTTGCAGCATCCTGGAGTCATGTGATCACCATTTGCAACCTTCCCATCTGGCTTCCGATCAACAAAACCAATGGGAAAAGCCAGATTCACTTAACGACTGTGTGAGTCACTTTACAACTGCGGTTATTTGCTTAACAACCATGGCAAAAAGGGCATAAACTCCTATAACAACTGCCTGGCTCAACAATAGATAATGCTGGTCCCAATTGTGGTCTTCCTGTACAGTACAGGTTCAGGGCTACATTTCTGTTTTCCTTTGAGATGCTTCACTGCTTCCTGGTTTTAGTAGACTAAAAGCAAAAGAGCGGAAGGCACGCGAGAAGAAGTCGCTCTATAGTTTGTTACTCTCTCATACATACTGATTTTTCAAATGCTATGGATAAGACTGCCCATACTATATTAACCATGTCCTCTGAGAAACGCCAGTGAAGGTAAGGTTTCTCAAATTACTATTTGATGCATGTCATATATAGTCAAACCTGGACAGCATTTGGGTGAAAGACCATCAACAAATTTCAAGGCTATAGGCTAGACTGGTTTAAAAAAAAAAAACCAGTAAAAGGCAAAGGCAGACCACTTGTACAATGTTGCTAAGAAAACTGACGTGGATATGTCCATACAACCAGCAGTTACTTTTAATTCTGTAGAAACAGTGGCAGTTCAAGGCATTAACAGTAGGAGTAAATTCAAAAGCTCATCAGCCAAAACAATTACCTATACAAAGAAAAAGTGAACAATTTTTCCGGCTAAATCCTAAACTCCAGCAATAGGTTCATCTAAATGCACTTTCTTGCTATCTTATCTAATGTGCTCTTGAAGTGATGGTACATAAAGGCTTCCCTCAAATGGAGGCTCCCTTAAAAGGAAGATAGTTTCATACAGAACAAAGTCATTTGTTAAAAGAGTTTAATCCAACAGTCACAACCAGCACTTTGATTTATGCCTCCAAATAGTAGCCAATGAAACTATTGTAACTAAGGAGTCTTATTTTTCATATAAATGGTTCCAGGCAATAATAATAATAATAGCATTTAGACTTATATACCGCTCCACAGCACCTTACAATCCTCTCTAAGTGGTTTACAGAGTCAGCATATTGCCCCCAACAATCTGGGTCATTTTAGCCACCTTAGAAGGATGGAAGGAGGCTGAGTCAACCTTGAGCCAGTCAGGATCGAACTCCAGACTGTGGGCAGAGTTAGCCTGCAATACTGCATTCTAACCACTGCACCACCACTGCTGTTACCTGAATTAATATTTGGATCAAGGAATCAGAATGCCCTTACTAGGCATAGAGTGCTCCAGTAAGCCAGAACTAAATACCCGTATCTACACATTCCAGTAAACTGGATGTCAGAGGTCCTTGCCGCACCCTTGGCTCCAACGAGAAACAAGCCGTTGAGTTCACAGGTGGTCGGTTTATTCACAGTACTCTCTGGCATGCAGTATTCAAACAAACAGCAAACAAATAGACACCTCCCGGCCGGCCCCACCTACCACCCAACTACCCAGCATCCGGCGTGGGCACCGGTATGGCAGCAAGGCAAGGAAGCGAGACAGGATTTCTGCTCTCCATCATTTCTCCACACCGATCGCGGCTGCGTTCTGCAGGGTCCCCCTTCCAGCATACAGGTACGAGGGAGGGAAAGGGCTGTCGCTGCCATCTCTACTGCTGGTCCCATCTGCTACCTCTGGACGCCTCCATCCGACGATCTTGTCCCCCCTCCCCCTCCCATTAGTGGCAAGCCCACAGGGGGTTGACACTGGAATCTGATCCACAATGCATCTGATTTCTTCATATGATACCAGCACCACAGAATGTGTCTTGAAATTACATTATTTCAAGGCTCAAATATATTTCCTTGTTTGATTAAACTGTCAAACATAAAAAAAATCACCCCAACATATATTTAAAATAATAATGGTTTGGCTAATGTTTAATTCTGAAATACTGGAGGAAAGAAATGTTCTCCATTCCTATTTTTCTAAATGATGATTTCTTTAATTATCATGAACAGGGAAACACTAACTATATTTTTATATTCCAAAAAAAGCAGCTATGGACATAAACTGCTTTGTGTTAAATCCATTAAAATGATGTCGTTTCTGTGCGTGCAGTATGCAAAAAACTGGACATTTCAGTCAAGGAACCAAAATTACTGTTACCACTAGAGGTCAGAAATATAGCAGAAGCTCTACTTAGAATAAGTAGGCAATTTATTCTGAAAACAAAAAAATTACTGACATGCCTTTAGCTAACTTACTGCTTTTCTGATCCAAAGAGAGAAGTTACATTATCATGATATAAAGTTTCACACTCTATGGATGAAAGTTACTAAACGTGATTAAAACTGAGAACTGGTCCTGATTTGTACAGCAAAAACTAACCAGGAATCTGGTAGCACATATTGTGAACAACAATTATGGCCATAGTTCTCTGGCTTCTATACAGAATGAACAGATTTTACATGAAAGAATTAATAGACATTTGGAATCAGACACAGGACCAAACGGCTCACTGCAGTTGTTGTTTATTCAGTGTACACTGGAGGAATTTCCCTTCAGAAAATAGTGGGAAGAATTCCTACAGACAGAAGAATGTACTCATATTTATTCATTCTAGGAAAGGAGGAGAAAAGGATAATCATACCTAGGCATAGGTAATAGATGATGTAAGCATGAACATTCAAAATTAGCAGGCGTCAAGTTATCCTCCTGCCCATCTCCTGTTACTATCCTCAAGAAAGAGTTATTGTGTTAATAAAGAGAAACATATTGGCTGCATTGCCATAGCAGTTTTGATAAGATGTACTAAGAAAGAAGAATGTCAAGGTTGCCCCGTGCATTCCTTCTATGTTTCTATCTTGCCAACACATGGTTCCACTCCTCCAACAACTTGTTTTCCTTACAAATCTTCTCCCTTTTGACCTCTTGGAGGACTGTGTGTGTGTGTGTGTGTGTGTGTGTGTGTGTGTGTGTGTGTGTGTGTGAAAGGATAGGATTTGGCCTTACACTCTTCTGGAAACAATTACTGAAAAGACCTAATGATAGCCAGAAGAGCTAGGCAATCTAGAGCTAGATTTGGCAACCAACTCATCCCACGTAGCCACAAGGTAAGCCAATTTCATAGATTACAGTACGGAGGCTTGTTCTGTAGCTCATTTTGTCAGATGCCTTACATCTTGCACAGTGTAGTGGATTTACTTTCAAGGAATTGTCAGTTGGGTTAGAGCAATACAAACCAGGAAATTCCTCACAGCCATGGGCTATTCTGAATAGCATAAAGTCAATGGCCAGCCTGTTTTGCAAGATTGCTGTTCTTAGCTATTCCTGCTTCTCGTTAAGGAGAAAGTTTGATACTACTTTGACTCAAAACAAGGTCAGAACATTTCACTCACTTAGGATACTCTACGACAGGGGTGTCAAACTGCAGGCCCACGGGCCGGATGCGTCATAGCGAAACCGCACCCACCCCATTGCCAGCAATGGAAAAAAATTGCGATACGTGGCGACACGTCACGTGACGTTGCGAGTTTGACATCCCTGCTCTACAATGTCCTACAAGACTTTAACAGTATTGTACCATTGGGGGAAACCCTGCTGAATTCACATATATATCAAAAAGTTTCAGGTAATTTCAGATGTCAACAAACACAGTGGGTTTGTAATGCTTTACAATTGTTATGTGACAAGGTACTTTGTATCTGTCTCACATGTAACCTGCATCTGTATAACTAGCCTGTCCTGCTCCAGTTCCCCCATTTAAATCCTATTTCAAACTTTAGCTACTTGATGCATCTGACAATATGAGCTACAGTTCTTTTAAAGCTTATGCCTTTTAATACAATTAGTCAGAGAAGGTGATACTTTCTGATTTTTGCTACCACAGACTCACATTGATTTGTTTGGGGAAGTGGCTTGTCGACTGGAAGATTGGCAGCTCAAGCACCGTGTGATGGGATGAGTTCCCATTCTTGCCAAAGCTCCTGGCAATCTAGCAGAATGAAAGCATGCGAATGCAAGTAGATAAATAGGAACCACTTCAGTGGGAAGATAACATCGTTCAATGCACCTCTGAGTGCAGTCATGCCGGCCACATGATCATAGAAGTGTCTTCAGATAACACTGGTTTCTTCGGCTAGGAAACAGAGATGAGCACTGCCCCTAGAGTCAGATATGATTGGATAGAGCAGTGATGGCGAACCTTTTAGACATGGAGTGCCCCAAAACTGGCCCCGCCCTGCTCCACCCCCTGCCCCGCCCCCACCCTGCCTGCCCTTACGGCCACTCACCACCTCCAGGGCCCGCCGCAGATCGCCCAGGCAGCCCAGCAGCGCCATGGTGGCCACGCCCTCTGCCCACGCCCCGCAGCATCAACTGTGCGCGATGGGGCGTGAGGGCAGAGTCTTGTCTAAGCTGCCTGGCTGCCATGTCCTTGACTGCACTGCTCCACGTGGGCCACGCTTGGGGGCAACCCTTTCCAGGAGGGCTGCTAGTGAGGAGGGTGTCACGGGGGGAGGCAAGGCTGGGTCAACGGCACGTGTGCCCACAGAGAGG